ATTCTCTTCTTTTTCCTTCACGTATTTCCTTTCTCTTGTTTGGAGAGAAAACGCTTTCATAGGTATCTTTATTTTTGAAGGAGGTGCTGTTGTATGACTTTTCTTTATCTATAACAGGTTTTAGACTGATATCTTTTTTCCATCTGTTTTCTTGAAGATCTGTTGAGAGGAAACTGTTATAGCATATTTTCCTATATTCTTTGTATCTATTAGTTTCCCAGTACAATTTGGTGTTATAGTATATGATGCTATGTTTTTTGGCTTCCAACTTGTCTTCTTTGCTCTGGAAAGTCACTATCACGTAGCTTTTGTTATTACTATTTGTGTTTTGAAATATATAAACTCCTTTGGCGTTTGTATGTCTTATTTGTCTAAGTATAAGTATCTCATTTGCATTCTTGAGGATATTATGTAGTTTTAGTATATGTTGTTTCCTCTCGTCTAGAATATCTGTTTTGTTATGCTCAGGGGTCACTCTTACTAATACTTCGTTATTGAAGGGAATTACCCAAGGTATTTCTTCCTGACTATTGAACTTTCCTTCGATAAAGGAAATCTCTGCTCTAGGCTTATAGTGATCTTCTTTGATTATTTCTATATGATCAACTCTATCTAAGTACCTTGTAGCTTCAAATACTTCAGAATGACTAACTGTACAAGATAGGTCCCAAACTGTGATAGCATTTTTTTGCTCTTTGGGTTGATCTCTTCTCTTTGTCTTGTTTTGTTTTGTTTTATTGATTGCATCTGAATCTTTCCTTAAACTTCTTTGCTCAAAGATTTTCTTTAGTTCATCTTCAGCTTTTCTCTTAATTTCTTCTCTACTTTTGGTTTCTTTCTTTATGACTTTGTTCTGTTGATATTCTTGGGTTTGGTTTTTGTTATTTTCTGTATCTGAGGGTTTTTCTAGAGTTAGATTTAGTCATTCATACTCTTCATTTTTATTGCTTAATTCTGCTTGAACTTCGTTAAATCCTTCTTCATAGTCAAAAGTAATTATATACTAGTGATTTCCTCTTGCGAACCTTTTAGAGATTTCTTTAATATGTATGTTGTTTCTTAGCAACCATTTTAGGGTTCTTTCTCTTTGATATGCATCTTTTCCTATTATATTTGCTGATATGACTCTTGCTTTAGTCTCTATTTTGTGTTTGTATTTTTCATTTTTTGGGGCCTAGATGCTTTCTTCAAGAGTAGCTTTACCTAGTTGTATTTTTAGTTCATTGCCTAATCTTTCAAATTTCTCTTCTAATACTATGCTTTCTGGTTTTATTTCTAGTAAGCCTTCTGTTACATCGATATTTTGAAATTTGCAATCACTTTTGTTGTCTTCTATTTCTGTGTTATCTTTACTCATATCTATTTCTATTTCTATGTTCTTTTCACTAGATAGTTCTTCTGTAGAATACTGAGTTTTAATGTCTGTTACCATTTCTATTTCCTTTAATTCTTTTGTAGGTTCTATTGGTTAAGTTTGGGATAAGATTCCTTCTTAGTTTATAATCTGTTCTACTTTATCTATTCCATTTGCAATTACTACTCTTTTTATTATTTTCCTCTATTTTCTTGTTGCAGCTACTGTTTTGCTATCTATATGTATAACTTTTACAATCATTTTATCTAAATGTATTGCCAAGCTTTCAACTGAGTTGCTCCTATTATGTATCATTTTTTCACCATAAATCTCAGCTATTTTAGTTAGTAATCTTTCAGAATTTTCTAAAAGCCACATCTTGTCTATAGTAGATTTTTCAATTTTTCCTGTTTAATGATCTTTCCTGCACAAAATCTGATATTCTATGTAGGTCAAAATGAAAAACCCTAGCAGTTGTCTGGTTTTGGTTAGGCGTTTTTCTCACATGTAATTCAAAATTTGTTTTGTTTATCCTTGTTGCACATGACTAGTTTACGTGACTTAATTCTTGTTTTGGTAATTCTGTATTGAACTTCTTGTGTAACCTAGGTAAACAAAAATTCCAAGGTTAAGCTATTCCCCAAAAAGTTGCAAGAAATCAAAATTTTTGTTGTGAGGAGCATTTTTCTTTTAACACTTTGAGAACGTGAAGCTTGTTTTTTCTTTTAGGAGTTATATCTAGTCGAGTTTTTTGTTTAGAAACTTTTTTTTTATGATAGTTTTGCTAGTTTTTTAGTCTGGTTTGGGAGTTTTCTGTGTTTTTTCTTTGGCTCCAGAATTGGTCCAAATGATCTACGGAATGAGTGATTATGATTGAATATATCGTTTATTTATATTATATAAATTATTATTATTTTTTACTAATAATCATTTAATATATTTTACTCATAATTATTTAATTTATTTATAAATCAAAACTTTCATAATTACATGATTACAAGTAAATTTAAAGCCAATATTACAAAATTCTTCATTAAATTTTTTTTTTAATTTATTTATTTATAAATTAAAACTTTTCTAATTACATAAATTTAAAGCCAATATTACAAATTTTTTGTCAATTCTTATTTTTTATAAATTAAAAAACTTTCATGATTACACGAATTTAAAACCAGTGTTACAAATTCTTTGTCAATTTTATTACTTCATTTTTTCATAATAATAATTATGATTGATATTGACATTAGTAAATTATTTCAAGATATTGAAACTGACCTTTTGGATATAGCAGTATATTTAACGCTAATGATACAATATACAGTATATTGGTAGTGATATTACTGCTATGTTCTAATAATAAAAAAACTCACTTGAGTATGTTCTAATAATAAAAAAGCTCACTTGAATGTGTTCTAATAATAAAAAAAAAACCTCACTAGAGATCAAGAGTTAACTGTACTATATAATGAATAAATTACTAGTGACAGTATTGTGTTTAATAATAAATAGTTCATGTATGTATAATAATAATAACGATTATTTCATAAAAGATATTCAATTAACATCTCTAAATAACACTATTTTATTGGCTAATTTTGTTGATCATTAGAGAATTCCAAAAAAGGAAATTTGAAATATGGTTCAGTAATATTGAGCACTATTTTTTTTGTTATCTCTAATAAGAGAGCCTATAACAGTTATTCTTTATTCTAAAATCAAAATTTTGTTGAATAATTGTTGTTTTAGAAAGTATGAGAACAGCTATAATATATAAGTTATAATAGTATTTCGAGTTATACTCTGAATTATACTCCAAGCTATGCTTCAAAGTATACTCTAGCTTAATACTCTGAGTTATATTTTACTTAATACTCTAAAATAACACTACGAAATTTGTTTTATAGGAGTATACTCTAGTGTAGTATGATATTAAGAATATTCTGCTAGAGTATACACCACACCACTCTGGAGCACTCCATTAACAACCCTAGAAATTTATATTCTGACCTTGTATATCTTATTAGCCAATTAAAAAAAATTTTACATGAATGTTAAAGTAATGTCACATGAAAATCAGCTAATAAAATCGTAAGTTTCAAAAAATAAGAAAAATAAGAAAAATAGCAAAATCAAAGCAAAAATTTATATCCAAAGTTCAAAGATAAGTCTCGATAAACACTGCCACAAAGTAAATTAACATATACTTATTAGTCTGAATCATTTATTTACTAAATTTACAGACTTTTTAACTATCGCTATTATTACAGTATTATTAACAAAAACTTAATAATCTATATATTGTATTCACCTCTACACGCACTTCTATATCTAATATAAGCTTAATATTCTACCATATAACTATTCTACTATCTAATACATATATCCTATTATGTTCTATTATAATTTAAACGATTTAAACAACTACATAAAATAAAATAAAAATAATATAAAATTAGTTACTCGTAATAATATAGATCTACTATGCTTTTTAAAAAGTTTTATGCAATAAAACAACGTTTGCACTCATCTTACCTTTTCTAAATGTTACTTTCGTTACTTTCGTGTATTTTAGTTTATACTCGGAAGAATGGAATTTTGAAAACTTAGCTCACATAATATACTTTTTTTACATATAACTTCATCGCATAAATTTAATACGAAGGTCGAATGATTCAGATGATATTATAATATAGCGCGAAAACTTCAAGTTTGTTTAGTACACTAGAACTGGTTAAAAGATGAGATAATCTACTCGAGCTTTCGAGAAAAGTATTGTAACACATAAAAAATTCCTGATCAATTGAATCATTCATGTAACGATCTGCAAACTCGGGGCATATTCGGGACGGTCCTACCTCATGGGAAGACATTCATATAATTATAAAATTTTAAAGAATTTATCGTTAACAGTTAATACTATTATATTATATACTGAAAAACGAAAAGAACTCCATACAAACAATTACAAACTAATAAATGTACGCAAGAGAATTTATCACATGTGTTTAAAGAATATATGGATATATGTAAAGTGGAGTCAATATGATATTTATTACTAATAAACCCGAACTTATTAAAGAATCTACAAGATACAAATCCAAGCTTTAATTACAGCTGACAAACCTAAACGCATTACAAGAACCAACGAATTTAAATATTAAACTCGGATCTTTGACTATTAAAGAAGCTTGTACATATTCAAATTAAACAGTTAATAACAAAAGTTTATCAGAATCTAACGCAATTAAGAAACTTAAGTAAAAAAGTGTTTCCAGTTACCTTACTCTACAGTATAACTTTGCACAGTCCAATAGGCGACAGTATATTTTGTCTTCTAAGCAAAGTTCATTATTTTTGAGATTATTTTATTTTTTATAGTGAATACTGATGTTCGGTCAAAGCGAAAAATAACTTTTGCAGTAATTTTTATTAGTGAAACGTTACAATCTCAAAAAGTACTCTAAGTTACCCGAGTAATTGATTTACATAACGAATGTCTGACTATGAGGTCCTACCTCAGATATCTTGGATTTAGCCCCGAAAAAAATCGGGATCATCATTTGTCCCGTGATTTTTCGCGCTTCAGTGATTTCGTGTCAAATGTAAACAAAGTAAAAATGATTTGCATATAAATAACGATCAAAATTAATTTTTATTTTTGTAACTATTAATTTGTTTACATTGTTTACGCTTAGGTGGAATTCTTGTCAAGGTCTACTAATTCTAGAAGAAGAATTGGTTACGTTTCTTCCTTAACAAGAGTTCTACCTAAAATGCTTCATCCTAGCACACTCACCGAATTATTGACGTAGTCATGGACCGAAGAGTAAGATTAGGCTCTGAAGTCGTAAACAAATAAACAAAATTAATAGTTCAGGAGAATTGAAAGCTCTTCGTGGCCGCAATTGCGATAGTTGCTAGTTGGGTATCCAGACCCAATATACAGTAAACAGCCTTTGTGAACGTTCTTCTCCTTTACCTAACTATTGGATATGCCTCTACGTGGCGGTTAGGACTAGTAAACAATAATTAATTTGTTGAAGCTAAATATCCAAAAATTAAAAAGCAATAAAATAATAAACTATAATTAATATTTATTTGAAAATATATTTTACAATAAAATAAAAAACTGAAAATTTTATTTAGCATATTTATTTATTGAGAATTTCTATTTGTACACTAGTGTACGCATACACGTATAATCAATATCTCAAAATTTCGCCTATGAAACTGTTTTGGAGCTCTAATAAAAAAAATTCCTTGCTAAATTTTGCATATATCTAATGCCTAGATAAAACCCCCAGGCCTCACCCTAACCCTAATCTTAATCAGGGTTTATTTTTTATAAAAATTAGTTTACGATTTACCTAAATTAAAAATAATACGTATCAGTGTACAACCACTTAGTGTAAATTAAGTAATTTTCTTGCAAAAAAATTCAAATTTTATGAAATTTTCAATCTAATATTGATACAAAAAATATCGGGGCAAGAAAATCGAATAATTATTCTTGAGACCACTTTTGCAGTTTAATAAATATAATTTCGGTATATTTGATTTTTCAAAGAATATTTCAAATTTCAAAAAACTATTATAGATTCATATAAGGTCTATTAAGACTAAACATCTCTAACACTTTGCTTATTATTTATATTTTATTCAACATATAAAGTTTTTAAAAAAAATTTTATGGCATTTTCGTTATATTGGATATTTCATAATTTGATGTATAATAATAATTAAAGATAGTACGTAATAAAAATGAAGGTTTATTTGTTGAAGCGAACAACAGGAGAAAAATTGAGTTTAAAAATACTCTGCAATGTGTGATTAAAACCTTTTGATAAAAATAAAGAAACTGAGGAACGTTAATCAGCCAATTAAAATCATGAACAATATTTGTCTCTAAATACTTATTTACAATTAATAGTGCATGAGTATAAAGATGTTATTAATGTTATTTTCCGAAATTTTATATCTATTATAAAATATCCCGAATTTATAACAGATAATTCCGGATTTTCGCCCATCTCTAGAAAATATGCTGTAATTTATAGTTTAAGGTTAGGTATTACAGGTAAAATTGCCTTTCGGACATTTTATTAGTATCTTAGTTAAAGATATCTGATATGTTTACGTAGGCACCCGTATTTCATGTAAAAATTTATACGTTATAAGGATTTATTACAGTCACACCCTCCTAAGTGCATGTCCTCGGGACCATAGTGAAAATATTAAAAAAATTGCACCTAGAGGAGGTTTGCATATATAGGGTGCAAAATTCTTAAGGTTCTTATAAGTTGGGACCAAACTGTATTTGCATTTAGAGAGGTTTTACATAATACTTGCACTTAGGGGGTGCGACTGTAATTTGAAAATGATAATATTATATTGGTTTAAACTAGAAGAAAAAAACAATATACAGTATATTAGTAAACTAATAAGCAATGTTTATATATTTGGCATGTCCAAAGCTTTTTTAAAGATGTTCAACGTCCAAGTATCCTAAGTGTCCAAGCTACCCTATAGCCTTAAAAATTTTAATAATTTGAAAAAAAAAATTATTAATTATACTCTTCGTTTAATTCTAAACATGAAAAGTTTAAATAGATTATCTTAATAAAATTCGTCCAACGAAAACACTGCTAATAAATATACACGTGTAATATTACAATTATCATCGTTATAAATCAAATAGGCTTGTTCAAGCCTCTATGGGGTGTGACAAATAAGCCTATTTGAGCCAGCTCATTTACATCAAAATAAATAGATTTTTTACTAATTACGACGCGTTTGTGAAATTTGGGCCTAATGTATAAAGTAGTGCTTCGATCCGTAATCAGACTACTTCGGATAGATCCGATAATTCGGATTAAATGCGGCCGTTAATTTTAATAGGATTATCCAAGATTATAGCGATAGTAATAGTAAAGTTTTTACGAACTTACCTAGATGATTAAATTAAACTATGATAATATTTTGCAAGATCGACACATTAGTAAAGAAGTACTCGTTCCACAAAGTTTACAGATGCAGCAAATATTTATTATGGCTTTGAAGACTTTTATTTAACGTTAGTATGTTTTCATCGGATTAGACCTCAGCGTCAAGATTCTGATTTTACACTATATAAATACTTGTATACGTCGATCTCAGAAGGTAGCGGGTCCCCATATGATCAACAGGAGGGAACGTTAATGTTACACGTATTTTAAGTCCTGTGAGGGATTATATCTGTAACGTATATTATAGAGTAAGCTCGATATAAATAATTTTTCTTCTAATTAAACACACCATGTGTGGGATTAGATGTGTAACATTAACGTTCCCTCCTGTTGATCCGGATGACTCAAATAAAGAAGCTCTAGTACTGTAGTATAAAGTGCGTCATTCATTTAATAAACGTCTAACCCATCTTTATATAGGAAGATGGATGTTTATTATGGATCTACACTGAAATAGAGTTAAATTAATTCTTATTTAAATAAAAATACAGTATAAGAATAAATGGAGTTTTTTTTTCAAATTTAAAATTTTCAGCTCTTAATAAAGTATCTATAAGACTTTTTACCCAAATACCATATTTTTATGTTTAAATAATTATATGTATTATATTATTAACATTAATACTTTTTGCATTAATTAAATTCACAAAATAAATTTAGCTACTTTTTTTAATATGAATTGCTTCATTTAAAATTTTGATTTTTGTGTATAAAGGCTTCAACTTTAATTAGCTTTTTAAATTAACTATTCTATTCTCGTGAGATGATACGTATATGCTTGGAATCTGGCATTTCCCAAAGGAAAACTTTTTTCTTTACTAAGTAAACCTCTTTGACTTCTAAATAAAGTTGTTTAGGAGAGTCTTGCAATTATAATGATAGTTGAAACGTTTAAATCGGCCCGGTGGATCGCGAGATATTAGTATTTTTGTCTTCGCGACTATATGTTGCTTCTTTAAAAGAAAACATATAATCGCGAAGACAAAAATACTAATATCTCGCGATCCACTGGGCCGATTTAAACGTTTTAACCATATTTATAATCGCAAGACTCTCCTATACAACTTTATTTAGAAGTCAAAAGGTGGTTTACTTGTAAAGAAAAAGGCTTTTTTTTGGGAAACGCCAGATTCAAAAATAATAAAAAATACAGTATATAGTAAACATATCTCCACTATTTACTATGTTGTTTCACTGGTTCTTTTGCGGATCACGAATTAATTAAGAAAAAAAAATAGGTTTATATATATATATATTTTAAATGCCTATTACATCTTTTATGCCAAACTAATATACTATTAAGGATCTATAGTTTATTATACCTAGAGATGTAATCAGCTGGAATGACTCAGCTTGGCTCACTAAAGCCATAGCTGAAGTCAAGCCATAGCATAAATAGCCATGGTGCAGCCAAGCCATGCATATATCATGGCTTGAGTTAGCCAAGCTGTTTAAGTTATGGCTTAGTTTTCTGAGCCGCTGCTAACTATGGCTTAAGCTATTATGAAGTTACAGAACTTAAATCGGCTACATCTGTAAAGTTTATCAGCTTGGCTCAAGCTATGGCTAAAAGCCAAGCCGAAAGCCATATTTCTCTGATTCAAGTCACGATTTTAAAGGCTTGGCTTGATAGTGGCTCTGGTATCAAGCTGTGGCTAGAGCCAACTTCAAATGGAGCCGATAACATCTCTAATTATACCCAGAGCTCATTATAATAAGACTCGTTAAGCTCTATAGTAATCTCTATACATATATGTATATAAAGTTTTAAACACTCTTATGATTAACTCTATTCATATGAATTAATGTTCTTTACGTTTTAAACCTCTTTAACATAGCTTAGAAATTTTTTATCTATTTTTAAAAGACATCTATGTACTGTTAGTTTTCTTTAAATAACTCAGCTATGTTTAACGATTTAGTAATTACATATTCGAAAATAGAGATGGTTTTAATTTTTATTTTTTACTTGTGTAGTATTACATTCTTAAAAAGTACTTTAAACTGTATAAATACAATTGTAAATGATTGACCAATCAGAAGAAAGTTATCCTAGGGTTAGAAGAAGTGGTTTATATAGTAAAATTGCCTTCTCAACATTTTTTATTAGTGCACCGAAGTAGGTTTAGACACTAGTTTCTCTATTATTTGCGTTTTTTTTTACTATTTTCCTTTGTTTTTGTCTTATTGGATTAATAAAAATTAACGGATTTATTGGCACTTGGTCACATGATTGCACACAGCTTTAGATACAGCTACCCCTGCAGGACCATGAAAGATCGACAATATGCACCAATCAGATGATCTACACTAATAAAACAATCGAATTTTTAAAGTAATAAAACTTACGTTAGGGTTAGGGTTATAACCGATGTTAGGGTTTTTTTCTATACTAAAATTTTGCGGAGAATTTTTTTTGTTAGTGCGCAGAAGGTGGTTTCATAGAGAGTCGATTGTTAGAAGAGATCTGATTGGTGCATCTGCGCTGATCTTTCATGGTCCTGCTGGGGTAGCTTTTAGATACAGACACATAATATTCCGTTTTATGGATACATACTGATCTGCTAGCTAATTAGATCGTTGGTTTATTAGATGATCGAAAATTTTTTATTTGGATTCTATTGATTTTATTAATAATAATTCAAATAAATAAAAAAAAATCATAAAGTTTGGTAAGAAACCTTCGATCAAGGTCATGAAAAATTTTCTCGGTTTCTTATTTTTGACAGCTTTTTAAAACTTTGATTGAAGATATCTTGACAACTATCTTTATTTTGATTGTATGGGTTTTAAGAATTTAAATAAAA